CCTGTTGAACACCTCGGATACCAATGCTAATGGTAACAATATTGTAACTTTGAAGCTTTTTAACTCGAAAGATATTTAATGAAAAAATATTTTATTGTAGTGTTTTGGAAAGCTCTCGAGGTAAGCTACAAGAATATGCATTGAAAAGTGGAGGTTTCTATTTAAGAAATTGAAGGTGACCTTCACGTAACTTTCAAATGACTATCCAGGGTCAAGCTAATTACACTATCTTATGTCACCCTCCAAACCATATAACTTTTGTTTGAAATATTTTTCCGTGTCTTCCATATTTTTCGAGATATTTGCCTGGTTCGATTAAAATGACTCATCTTGTATATACAGGGTGTAAAAAATTAGATCGACAAACTTTGAGAGGAAATAGAGAACATTAAAACAAACATATTTTGTTAATGATGTTTTTCTCTACGACACTTCGTTTTAATACTATAGGGTACAAAATAGGAATTTTATGATTTTAACAGAAAACAAACGTAAAGTGAAAAAATTAAATTTATTTCAATTACACATATATATTTTAATCTTTAACAAACAATGAACGAAACAAAATGCACAATTGATTAGCTCAATTTTTTTTATGGGAGCATATAAAAACTTTCATTTATGAGACACCTATTGAAACAGAAGCAGAATTGGTAGCCCAAATTACTGCTGCAGCATATCAGGTTCAGAATATTCCTGCAGTCTTCGAGCGTGTGAGACAATCAATGTTTCGACGATGTCATCTTTGCGTTGAAGCAAATGGAGGAATTTTTGAACATTTATTATAAATTGAGCTAATCAATTGCGCATTTTTGTTCCGTTCTTTTGTTCATTGTTTTTGGAAGATTAAAATATATATGTGTAATTGAAATAAATTTAATTTTTCCACTTATATGTTTGTTTTTTGTTAAAATCATAAAAATCATAAAATTCCTATTTTGTACCCTGCAGCATTAAAACGAAGCGTCGTAGAGAAAAACATTATTAACAAAATATCTTTGTTTTTATGTTCTCTATTTCCCCTCAAATTTTGTCGGTCTAATTTTTTTAAACCCTGTATGTATGTATGTATATATATATATATATATATATATAACATATAAAAATATATTTTTATAACTATAATTTGTTAACACTTCCAGGCGTTCGTCTTATTAAAAGTACTAAACGTGCAAAAAGTACAAGCACGAACACAACTGAGATCATATAAGACCTGTTCCTTGTAGCTACACTGCTAAATTGGTGCAATATATTGAAGTAAGACAAATATACGTTTTCTCACTCTAACTTATTGCACTAGTTCAGCAGTGCAGCTACAAAAAACAGGCCTATATATATCACATTTGCCCAATTAATGGCGGCACCAATCAAAGAAGATAACACGATCCGCTCCACTCTGTCTAGATTCTATCTGGCTCCTTCTCCCTCCGACTCACTGTGTTTACGCGTGTCCGAGAATATTTTGGCTTTTTTGGCGTCGATCCGAGCCGTGAGCGCGATTATGATATATCGTCTGCCGAGAAAAGATCTATGTAAAATTCCTTATCAAATCATGATGTTTATAATAATATACATACAGAATTTTATGCTACATATAATAACACAAGTATTTTAAAGTTATAAAACATGCACATAGGCTTTCTTACAGAAGCGACGATTTATGACAAAATATGAAATAAATATAAGGTGAACATTTAATGCAACGTACCAGTACGTTGCACGGTGTAAAAGTAACGTACTGGCAATTTCCTGTCGAGCGTTTTAAGCCTTAATAAGATAACTTTAAACCATTCCTTTATCGTTATATTGATAGAATAAATGCGGTACTGTTTTTATCTGAAGCAACTGTAGCACAATGAAACAAAGGTGCCAAGATAATTTTATTGAACGTGTAAATATTTATCAAATGGTGTAGACAAAACAGTTCGCTTTATCGATACCGTTGGAGACTGCTTAATTGGTTTTTGAAGCGGGTTCATGTCGCGAACACGATTATCATCAATGTGTCTATGATCAATATATTGACCATAGACAGATGTGGTCCGTTATTGTAATGTAAAAAAAATCTGAAAAAAGATATAAATATGGAAAACATGTATCCGTATATTTATGTATGGTACACGTCTAATCCGATACGCTACAGTCCGTATTTGTTGAATCGATAGCAATTCCGCACGTGAAACATACAGAATTATAAGAAGAAACGTATGGTTTTATTCGTCTGTCGTTTATATATATTTATAAAATTTACAATATACATGTACAATATACACCACACTTCATTAATATAGTCCCATCCCAAAAAATGGAGATATCGAATCGTTTAGTTAGGCGCCACGAATATAATTATTCGTGCATTATGTATGTGGAACATTCAAGGAATACCTGCGATCTGTCATTATATGTCAGTTTAATAGCTTTACATTAACATACGTGGTCCGAAATATCAACAAGCAACGAATTGATAATTTTATGTTTAGTAGAGATGTTTCAAAATGATATAAATGATGAAATAGGGACAGAGAAGCAACAGGAGGAGGCTATCATATCGTAAATACCGAAATTAGAGCTCTGGGTGTAGAAATAATATTTATATACAATTATCCTTACTTTAGATTAATGATGATTCTTTATGTCGTGACAGACCGCTGTTTTAAAGCAGTTATGGGTTTTTAGTTATTCCTGGAATAATCCATGATGCACGAATGTTTAGATTCGTTGCACCTGACTGGACGATTGGATCATCCATTTTTCGGGATAAAACTGTATTAATGGAGTCTAGTGTATATTGTACACTCACTGGTGTAATGCCGTCTGTATACTGTGTGACTCGCACACGATGACGCGTCACTTACATACTGTTGCCTGTAGATAAGGCACGAGCAGCGCGGAGTGGCGGAGGGGGCTAGCAGTATACGATCGTCGGACGCTTGGAAAGGGAATAGTGGTGGGAGTCGCGGCGATCCTCTATCGCAGACGTAAGAGCGAAAGAGATAGCATTATAAGACGTCGTGGACAGAAATGTCGTCCTAAAATACGTGTGATGCACACTAAGAAAACGCTCGACTCACACTGTCTTGTCTATACGTGAGCAATACGCGGTGTTCCGACGACTGTTTCACTCGCCCGAATGTCCATGCATTTTTTCTTGTTAGCAAGGAAATTACTGTAATGTAAAAGGAGATCTTGGAGAAGCGTTTTCAGGAGGCTTCGACAAGTGCTTCTTAATAGCTGCTCTTGAAAAAAAAAATAAATATTAAATTTATTTCAATATAGAATACTGAATTAATATAGAATACTGCAACAACACATCGCTTATAAAAAATTATAGATCTTATATGATTAAAATGTATACTCGTTTGCGAAATAGTTGAAACATATTCTTTCCGATAAAGTTTAGAGAAGACATCAAATAATCGCAATAATAATCCATTGACCACTAGGGTGCATTGAAAAATGGAAAAGTTTTAGAACGAATTGACGGGGTACGGAAAAAATGGACGATAAGGGAAGCTTACATGATTTATTCAGAATTCTCGAATTATATTTACATCCTTCGCAACGCTCGCGAAGTTTTCAAAACCTCTAGTATAGATTCATAGTACAGAATCCATGACTGGTTCTCATGCCTTACAGAGTAATAATATTTTATGAAACGATAAATTATGCTCTTATACAGGATGTCCCAGATCACTACACACACTCTCAAATTTCATATATAAAATATTTTAGCAAATTTGATATTTTAGGCTTTTGCAGTGTTCATTAGATTTGGTTTATATCATATTAGATTTGGTTTCCGGGTTTGAGCCGCGTGGGTTCATATAGTTTGTCGAAATAGAGTATTTTTTTATTTTAGTGTTGCATAAACACGCGAAATATAATTATTTCATATTTTATACATTTGAGTATCGTTCCATTGTTATAAAATTTGGTGACCCTGAAAAGAGTCGAGTTTTTGCCGAAGAAATCGACAGTCAATAGTTAGTCAATAATCAGTCCAATATCCGGCACGGTCGATAACTTGATTGATTCAATTAGATATCGAATCAATCAAGTTCGCGAGAAAGTCGGGTCGAAGCCGAAGTTCTTCCCAGATAACGAACAAAAAAAAAACGGACGATGATAGCAGAAACGGGTCGCATTTCTGTATTCATAGTTATAAGAAACAATAATTATTTGAAACAGGCACAAAAATCTTGGCCCTTTTCAGGGCCACCAAATTTTATAATATTATGGAAGTAACGTCCTGATTCCTCCTTGATGAAGCAGACTGAAATGTTCGTGAAACGTCGGAATCAAACGAAAAAGAATCCACGCGGCTCAAACCAAATCTAATATAATATAAACCAAATCTAATGGACTGCAAAAAATCTAAAATATCAAATTTGCTAAAGTATTTTATATACGAAATTTGAGAATATGTTTGGTGATGTGGGACATCCTGTATAATTTATCGTTTCATGAAATATTATTACTCTGTGAGGCATGAGAACCAGTCATGGATTCTGTATTATGAATCTATACTAGACGTTTTGAAAACTTCGTGGGCGTTGCGAAGACTGTAAATATAATCCGAGAATTCTAAAAAAATCATGTAAGCTTCCTTTATCGTCCGTTCTTTTTCGTCGTACCCCGTCAATTCTGTTCTAAAACTTTTCCATTTTTCAATGCATCCTAGTGGTCAATGGATTATTATTGCGATTATTTGATGTCTTCTCTGAACTTTATCGGAAAGAATATGTTTAAACTATTTCGCAAACGAGTATACATTTTAATCATATAAGATCTATAATTTTTTTTTTCTTAGAATCACATAATTAAAAGAAGAAACGCTTTTTTATAATCTTATTCTAATTGACTAAATACTATTGTAACAATGATTAACAATCAACATTTATTGATTGTTGATTAAACAATTCGTAAACTTATATGTATATCATAAAATTTATAATTCCTTTTTATCATATTATTATAAGGATGCTTTTTTGTAATTTTACCCCAATCAACTCGTCCCCATCCAGTAGCAACTGCTTTGCCATCATAACCAATATCGGGTAAATCAATTGGAAGACATGCTGGTCTCACCCATGCATTATAAGTAACTGAAGTTTCCAACTTCATTATGGCTATATCATGATACTCCGACGGGCGTTTGTAATCAGGATGTGATATTCTTTCTATAATTCGGATAGTTTGCGGTTGCGCGTCATCATTCGTCTGTGCCAGATTCAAATCGCCGACTCGTGCCCACTTCGCATCTCCCCTTTAAGACAAATGAAACACATCAAGATCTGCAATTGTGGTTTTTATAGGAGAGAAAAAATTATAACATTAAATATATATGCTTCGACTTACAATTCTGTACTATAACTGCAATGAGCCGCTGTTAAAATAACTCTGTCTGAAATCAAACTGCCCCCACACAACCACCTTATGCTATTTTCGCCATCGTCATATCCGATAGCCGTCATATGTGGGAATTCTTTTGGTTCAGCTTTTTTACCTCCAACGATCAGTTTGCGTGTTTTTAGGGCACATCTCGATACGTTCACGGGAGTTCGATCAAGTACGAGAGTTTGTGGTAACTCTAAACCAAAAACAGCTTCTGCGTTTTCCGCACATTCTGTATAAAGATATTACATTAAAATAAATATATGTACAGAGTGAAGTTATTAAACACATCATAACTTTACATTATTCTGATGTAACAATATTGCAAATGTAACGTACAATCAGTGTTGTAACGTATCTAGATATATGTATCTTTTTGCAGTATCTACTCTTTGTGTATCTATATCTGTATCTAGTTATATTTTTCATTTCAAAATCTGTATCTGTATCTAATTACATTGTATTTCATATCTATATCTAAATTTATCATTTTAGATACAGATACGAAATAAAATGCAATTTTGATGATTTCATATATAATTGTTACTTTTTTACAAGAGGCAAAGTTGTTTCCATGGTGTAAGAATATAAGGTGATGCATTCTGGTAAATATTCAATAGCTACCAATCAGAAAGTTGCCACAAATACAAAAAACTCAATGGCTCTCATCAAATGTAACGTTGACATAGTATATTTTGTAGTAACTTTCTGATTAGTTCTACTCCCACCTCCATGATGCACAATAAAACACTTTGTCGCGTTCCGTTTCACGTATATGCGCACATTTATCTACAATTTACAACACGTATACTGTAGAAAATGCGCGTATAATATGTGAAACGGAACGCAACTCTTATATTCTTACACCATGGTTGCTTTATTGGGTGCGTTCAGCGAACTCAACAGAAGTTACACAACAGTTGAGTAATTCGTCAATATAATTGACTAGATTGTCTAGATTTAGGAATCTAACAGTAAGAACCAATAATCGCTGATTGCTCACTGAGCCCTTTTTCCGCTGAACGCGCCTATTGGGTGCATTCAGTACTATAACCTCTCACTGAGCGCTCAGTGAGCTCTTGTATCCCATTGGCATATTCTTTTAGATCTAAAAATATGTACCAATGAAATGTAAGAGCTCACTGGGTGCCCCGTAATCGAAGTATCTGAAAAGATATAGATCTGAAGAGATATAGATACATTCTTAAAGTATTTGTATCTACATCTAGTTACCCAGTAAGCAAGGAACATTAAATTAACGTTTAGAAACGTTGACTTCATGTGTATTGTTTGGACATTTTTTAATAATATTGCATTTATATTTTTCATATGTTGTTTTGTGATATAATTTTTCTGAATGTTATTATTTAAACGATTTAAAAACTTTATTATTAAAAATTTTATTATTTAAATGATTATTTAAACGTTTTAAAAACATTACAAAAAATATATTTTTCAAATGTTACTTTAACATTTATTTGAGATCAATGCAACATCTTAAAAATATTTCTGCCGATTAAAACATTATAGCAACCCTATTTCAACATGATTAAAACTTCCAAATTGTGGTCAAAGTATGTTCATAATGATGTTTAATACAATATTAAACACTACATATTTGACAATATTACAGGTTCTTCAATATCGTTGTAGCAACGTTGTATTAATGATTTCTTGTTTACTAGTTATTCATATAAAATTCGTATCTGTATCATCATCTAACTACACTTTTCTTACCGTATCTGTATCTATATCTAGCTACTTCAAAACATATATCTGTTACAATACTGCGTACAATATAGCATATTTTTAACAGATTGTCCCAACATATTGTTAACATAACATTGTTATACATAACATGTATAACATATTGTATTATGACAAATATTAGTCATATATTTATAGAGTTCTTTCTATTTGCTACATTTTTGTCAATATTCTATATGTAATTGAAAACTTATAATAAGCAAACTGTTACGTCCTGTGGGATTCAACAAAAAAAACTGCGGCGACCGGCCAATATTTCCTAGTAAACTCAAGGTCGCTGAAGTCAAATCTACCAGTAAAAAAATGCCTATCACGTCAGGTTTTTAAGATAAATCGAGTAATATAAGTAAAAAACTGCGTTTTTTTGCCATATTTACCAATTTTTGGTTATAAAACAAAATTTTATTTTTCAATTTCATTCACGCTACTTTAAAGTACTATTTTTCACCTGTAAAACGTATTTTTATTTTTTACTGTACAATTTTTTTCACAAACTTATAAACATTTTCCAAAATGTAAATAATGTCGGGTCCAAATTGGTTGATTGAATCTGGAAAGTAGATGGATTTGTATGAAAATAGATATCCTAAGGTTTTCGGAGTCGTTGATACCGAATCTGAATTCAAAATTTCGAAATTCAAAATAGTAGGTATAAAAGACCGGTTCTAACCTAGTTCCTTTGAAGGGGGTGTGGGGCGGGGGGGGGGTACCGCGGGCGCGGGGGTATGACGTCACCGGGGTGGGGTATAACGTCACCGCGGGGAGGGGGGGTATTCTCAGAGGTCGGTAATTGGGGGGATCATACCGATATTACTGACGGTCGGTAATTTTTTACCAATATTATATACTAACATTTAATTACATAATTTTTTTACCAACATATAATTACACAATACTGATGATCGGTAGTTACTGATAATATATCAACATTTAATTACATAATTTTTTACCAATATGTAATTACATAATTTTTACCGGCATATTTACATAATACCAATAATCGGTAATTACCGATATTGTATACCGACGTTAACATATTTTTCAATCTTCTTTCGATCATTTTATCGATCCGCGGTGGATTTTTGCGGTGGTTCGCGACGGATTTCTTTTGCAGCAGTTTTTGCGGCCGATTTTTATGGCAGCCCGCGTCGCCTGCGCCACCCGCGCCATCCGCTCGCGTATTTCGCAGCGTAATTTTTTAGTCGCAGCTGCAAAATCTAAGAATTTGCAAACTTATGTATTCGACAATTAGATGCGCAGAAAATGTGACACATGATATACTTATTACTAATGAGCACGTACACTGTGTCTCCGCGACAAGATTTTGCAAGCGTTTGCATTTGACAGTATGATGCGCACGAAGAATGTAACACACGAAATTCTTATTATTATTAATGAGCACGTACACTGTGCCCCCGCG